CCGGAAGTCGCCACCTACTTTATTTTTTTAAATGGAACACCCTGTATATTTTTACATATTTGGATTTTTCTGTTTTAAAGGTTGATAAATAAGTTTACTTTTTGCAATTTGATTCGGCCGTTCTCGAGTTATTCGAGAAAATTTTTCTAGAAAAATTTGCTCCAGCGGACATTTGTTCATAAAATCATAGAACACTCGATTTTTGAGATATCAGTTTAGGATTCAGAACATGCTTAAACAACATGATGGAGTATGTTTTGGTGCCGAGAATGGCTGTCTAGAACGTTTGGTCACTTTCCTATGGCACATTAACTTTTCAAAATTTGGAAGTACCATAACTTAATTTTTTTTAAATGGCACCCCCCATATTTTATTGCTTAGTCGTCTTCGGCGTCTCATTTTACATCTTTTATATCCCATATGTCCTATTCCTAACATTAATAGTTTGGGAGATAATTAGGGTTTTTTGAAAAATGCTGGTCTCGCTGAGACACCCTGTATAGAAACGATTAAAAACTTCACTAATGCAGCTGTAAGTGTAATGATACAAGAGAATGATTTTTGTCTGTGTACATAGATTTCAAGACAAAACTTTTGGTCTGAAGGAGGCCTCATTTGTTGCTTATGCTACGCAAAGAACAAGAAACATTATTGATCATTGGAGACTGTTTAAATTTTTGCCACCAAGTAGCCCATCTAACTCAGCTACTTGAACCTGGCATAATTTTACCAGTTGAAACTTTTGTTAACGAGAAATTTTATGATATAATTCGACAAGAGAAGACCACATTACAGCCTCTACTCCTAAAAATAGATTCATTCCGCTCTTAAACCAGTTGTGGCAAAGAGTCATACTTAAATCAGAAGGTAATCTAAACGCTGATTTTATAAAAACACTGATTTACCTGACTAATTTTGCCAGCAGCTTATCCAAATTTTGTAAGTAAATCTTCGATGCTGTGTCAGTAGTTTCATAGAGGAACGTGGTTTTAAGACAACACTGAATGTATCTGTTGGCAAAAACATTTCTTTAGAAGAACAGAAAACGTTACAGAATAAAGTATCTACTTCTGGTACAAAAGACCTAAGAGTAATAGCGAAATACACTCACAAATTCAGAAAATGAGACAAATAGATATGGAAATAATTGACCACTCTGTTGCTGAAGGATAATTTTTAAATGAAGAGATTGACGAAGAATTACACAAATTTTAAACAAGTGATTTTGTAGTGATTTAATATTAAGACAACTAACGGCCTGGGTAGGTTCAAACATTGGATAAAGTAAGAGAGATATGTCAAATGTACACAATTTTTACAATATAATTTTTTATAATTTTCACGTGTAAAATAGAGGAACTAAAATGACTCACTACAAAAAGGATCCTGTGTCGATGAAAGCTAGAGAAAAAATCGAATAAAATAAATTTACTTTGTGTCAACTGTACCTAATAGTTTTCGTTCAGTGATATTAAGAAATGCGAATATCAAGTTGCGGTAAATATGAGCGTAATCTAAAATTAGAACTGCAGCAAGTCTCGACAAGTTTAGAGGTAAAATTCGTGTAGTTTATTGTGAAAATCTGATAGTTCGAGTCGTAGCAAGCAGCATCGTTGTTGATTTACCAGTAGACTATGATTTTCACCTACTCTGCCAGATATTCAGCAGTCCACGATGTTTGGTAAGTACACAACTAATAAAAAGATTAATTTGAAATGGGAAAGTTTTAAATGTGAAGAGGTCCAAACACATTTGGAACATTCTACAAGACATTTCTAAATTCTTTCATTAACCTTTCCTAGAGTGCATTACCGACTAATCAAGTATTTGCTGCTCAAATTGATATTGACGAATAGGTTGCAATAGATATAAACGAAATTGTAATTCGTTACCTCCAACCGTTCACAGTTAAATACTGTGCTGTTAAGTTTGAAATACGTCTAATAATCAATATGCAACTCATCCTAATAACGCAACATTTATTTGTAAACAAACTAGTACTTCCTTATAAAAACAGAAGTATGCTAAAGTACGCAAAATCCTAGAAATTGGGTTAAAAATTATTCTGTTTTGCAGGTGCGAGCGATACTACATACGTGCTTGAAATACGAGTATATTGTGGGCCAAATTATCAGATATCTTACCAGATATTACAGCCAATGGGCACACCGAAAAAGAAACAAATTTTTGCTATTCTATGATAGCTAATTTTGCCGATTTGTAGCCCAGAATTAGAAACAGAGCTAACTCAAAACAGCATTCACAATTAGGGTACTGTTTTACAAACCGACTTCCTAATAATAAAATGCTATATTATATACGAATAGAATAAATTAAACATTTGCCTATTTAAAGTGTGAAATGGTAGTTGTTCATGACTACTACGTGACGTCACAAACGGGCCTTCGAGCTGTACACCTGTTCCCTGGATGTAGCAGTCCTCTTAGATTTTACCGTTCTTGGTATAAATATAAATCCGTTATGTCGAGGTTTGACTGTATTTAAAAAAATTATCTAAAACACTTTGAGGTGTACAAATTAATAATCAATATGCAACTCATCCTAATAATGCAACATTTATTTGTAAACAAACAAGTACTTCCTTATAAAGACAGAAGTATGCTAAAGTATGCAAAATCCAAGAAATTGGGTTAAAAATCATTCTGTTTTGCAGATTCGAACCATACTACATACGTGTTTGAAATACGAGTATATTGTGGGCCAAATTATCAGATATCTTACCATATATTACAGCCAATGGACACATACAAAAAAATTAGCCCAGAATTAGAAACAGAGCTAACTGAAAACAGCATTCACAATTGGGATACTCTTTTACAAACCGACTTCCTAATAATAAAATGCTATCGTACGTTAAAACTAAAAATAATACGTTAAACATCTATCCATAACCCTCAGAATAAAAGCAAAAGTTGTCCAAGTCCACCAGAAAATATCTTTAACATGGAGCTAAAAAAAATTTCCAAATCAAAAACTACACCCACATCTCTCACAGTATTAAGCTGGTTAGAGCGGAGGTCGCAAATACATAAACAGAGTGTTCTACCTTATTTTTTCGTCTTGCACAGAAGAAATAAAAGCAGTCTTAGGTTGAAAGAATAATCATGAAACTGATATTCATTATAATCATTACACCACGATTTCAGCAAAGTTACAACTTATCATCTTGTCTACCAGCATGCATTACCTCAGCGATGTATTGGGCAGGCCAATACATGTTAATTATGGTTGAACGTTTAATAACAAATTTATGTTCACAAGAAGATAAGATCATTGGGGTAGAAATGTATAGTACTGTACATTATTCATTCATATATCACATACATCATATGTAATATATATTCTATAAGTTGGATATAATTGCGATTAGTCTATAATTAGATATAAAGAAATTGTTACCCTATTTAAATACCACTATCAGACGTTATTGTAAAATCTATCAATTATACGCATCGTATTTCTTTTATTGAGATTATTCTTTTTGATTGTAAGGCCTCTATCGCTCAAACTCTCTAAGCTGGTAAGCAAAGAACCAAGGTCAATTATCGAGTGTACACTGCTCTCTAGTATTAAAAAATAAAAAATCTTCAGTATCAATGGGAGGTGTAAGTAAGTGTCAGAAGATCATTAAAGTGAAGGGCAGCAATTGTGATTGTTATTTGTGTTTTGAATTTGGTCAAGAAACACTTTTTTGATAAGTAAAGGACAACTATAATATTTTGGCTTAAATTCACAAATTTTGCTACACTACCCAAAAATTGTACATGATTAATTAAATAATTGTATTTAGATCATATGTTATTGTTGTTTATAAAATAATTTTGAGTAACCTGTTCTATATATACCAATGGTGTAGTGAAAAAGGTCGTTGGTTAAATGCGCGTGCAAAGCGAGGCCCAAACACGAGCTCATATATGTTAATGTGCACTTGTACACAGCTTTATGTAAATCGGGTACGATCTACTACACGCTTTCCCAATACCTCAAAGGTACCTTTTACAATAATTCCACGACCGGGCCGGCTGAGGAGGCAAATATTTAGGTTATGTTGTTGTATTCGTTGCGAAACCCTATAGCGCAGCTAGGCGCTTTGTTGTCTTTCGTATCAATTGCGACCCGTGCGATTTTTTTATAGTTTACCTAAGCATTGAGAGTTATTACCGGTATGGCCACAGGACACGAACGCCGCCGAGCCGCGACATTGAGGGTCGGTCACGAAGCCAACGCGTTCCTGAAAATATCCCGTTGCCTGAGAGTTTTTTTTTGAGTTTTACGGACGTGTGCTACGCCATATGTACACGGCGGCGTCATTATATCACGTGCGCCCATACAAAACCAACAGCGTTCATGCTCAGGTTGCTTAAGACGTAAGTTGAATTAAATGTGGTTCAACATGAAATGTACATGCGGTTTAATAGTTTGTTAGAACCATTATAAGAACAAAGAAGTATAAATAAAATGTCTTGTTATAAAATTTCTTAAATAAAAATTGATTAATACAAAATTGTTACAATTCTTTATGAAATGATTATGTTTTTTTAAGAGAAATAATAAAAAGTTTAATGAGATTTGTGTATGTGTAACCGCAAACCCGTTAAATTAATGCATAATTTTAATCAAAATAAATTAATATAATCTTTTAAATACTTTTTTAATGCCAATAAATAACATTTTCAAGAATTTTTTAAATCCTACAAACAGTTATACCTAACTAATAAAGGTTGATTAATAACATATTAAAACATCACATCGCCCGGTTGATTAATATGAAATTCCTAACTAGATAAATTAGTTCCGTTTAATTTCAATAATGCATTAATGACAAATCTAATATAAACACGTACTTATTTACGATTGGCCGTGTAATATGCAATGAAATGTTGTAAGGAAGCGCACGATAAAATAAAGTAAAACGACCGTTTCCGTCGTCAATAATTAAGTAATTTTATAAGTATGTAATAAAATGTGCAAATAAAAACCTTCAGAATCTTCTTTACTGTTGGTGTTATGGACTGCGTATTGATGGGTCATGTATTGTTGATTAGGAACAGCTTCTATAACAAAAATAATGTATAAAAATATATTTTTATAATACCTATAATTCGAATAGGTTTAAGACCTCATAAAAATCCTTTGTACACTTAAGCAATGCCGAAACGAAATAATAAGGCGGAAGATGATTACTGATAATTAAGGTTTTACACGCAATACGATGGATGCAGAGCGGATATTCAATTACTAGAGGGAAAGTCATGTATAGAAGGTTGAGCGAAGAAGGTACCGTCAATTAGCTGTATTCAATTGGTATGCATTTCTTGCATACCTAATAATTGGATAATATACTTAGATTGTATAGTTAGGGTCAATATATTTTTATGAACTTTAAAGGTACAAGTTTAAATTTATTCTTAAATCATTATCTCAAATTTTATTATCTAATTTATGTATGGATTTTATTATTTTTGCAGCATTGAGGAGAATACCAAATTCAACAATCTGAAGACGCTTGGCTAAACCCAAAACATTCTAGTTCTAGTTTTAATTGTTATTCAGCGTTAGATTGTTGTATATTTTTGTTGAACTCTATCAAGATCTTTATTTTATATGATGAACCTTAAGTCTGAAACTAACAACATTACAAAACACGAATAGAATAAATTAAACATTTGCTCATTTAAAGTGTGAAATGGTAATTGTTCATGACTAATATGTGACGTCACGAACGGGCCTTCGAGCTGTGCATCTGTTCCCTGGATGTACACACTTGGACACACTTTCAGCGGTATTCTGAAAAATCAAAAAATCGCTGTATTTTGGAATCGGTTGAGGTACAAACGAAATCGAAAGTGGTACAAACGGGTACAAACGATTCTCTACCGAATGGTATTAATAAAATTAGAATATCAAAAAATGGGGTCCTGCAATGTTTCAAAACTTTTTATCTCTTTAGATCCTGATGTACAAAGGAAATTAAAGGTGGTACAAACGATTCTCTATCGAATGGTACTAATAAAACCAAAATATCGTAAACTCGGGTTCCAGGTTCACAGAGCTGTTATATCGAGGTTTTACTGTATTTAAAAAATTTACCTAAAACACTTTGAAGTGTACAAATTAATGACCTTTCATTATTCATCAGTGGAGTAATTAACGTTCAACAACAAACTAAAAAAAAAAGATCCATTCTCTGAGTTACTTTCGAAAAGCAACGGTGTTTTCCATTCATAAGGAATTCCATACCCTTCATAAGGAAAACTAAAACCAACTTAAAACCTTTTTGAATCGTCATTAGTATCGTTGTACTTTTACGTTTGGATGACTTAACTCTTAAGTCGCCATGGGGCACTATATAGCCGTCCGCGATTTACTGCGAACGTGGCGTCGATGTAGGTATTCGTTGAATGCCCGAAGATTGAGACGTCAGCGGCGGCGAAGAAGAAGAAGAATAAGTGGTTTTTTGCGGCGCGGTCCGAAGCACCGTGTTAGATTTATCACGACCGATCGGCCAAATTGCCGGTGTCCGGGGGGCTAATTTCATTTATAAATCATTAGCGACGTGCGGCGAACCGGTCATTATCGTAAAATTTCAATGTTTTCGACGTTCGAACCGCGAAGGAAGAATCTTTAAGGGGTCTTCAACTCCCTCACAGAAGATCGGTCCGGACGTTATAAATCTTTCTTCGCCCCGTTTGCAATCACTTCACGATCAACCTGCAATTCGTTATTACCAGGGCGTTTTGTTTGTTTTCGTAAACAGGGTGGGTTCTACTTACAATACAAAGAAAACAACTTTTTTCTTTTCTTTTTAGGGTAATCTTGATCAATTTACTTGTCCACATCAAAACATTTTATGAGATTTCTACCAAGAAATGTAGACTTATTTTACTGAGCGAGTGTTTTTAGCTTTTAACAATAAAATGTGTAAATACCTGAATTACTGGGATATCTGTGTATTGTCGTGTACGAACGATAATTATGGGTACGATACTCAGCAATTAGGTGAAGTAATAACTGAAATTTTTAAAGGCAAACACGTTTTTACCAAACCTTCATGCGTCGAAGATTGAACCACTCCTTTCGTAGATCGTGGTGAGACACTGCAATTAATGGATAATACGACTACGAAGAGACCGGGATTGCAATACGAAAATGGACATCGTACGCCAATCCTCTGTCATTTCCAATTCGTTATTTGGGTCCTCACGTTGCAATTTTAAGATTGTAGAAGAAAACCGTTACTTGATGCGTGTTTCGTCCGTTTTTAAGTACACCCAACTTTTTATTTAAATCATTAGGTCGTGGTTAACGTTTAGAAATTATAAGCTATTCGTATTAATGAAATCTAATTATAGGGGGTGATTTTAAAATTGCTAATGCGAAGTGATGTACGGTCATCGTTTCGGTTATAAAGGTAGATACAAGAGATGTTGTTGTTCGTGATCATTTTGGGCTCGTTATTAGAAATGTATGCAGCATAGCGAGCAGTGCGGGCGCGCTGGTTAACTAGATAATCACATAGATATCGGCACGAAAATCTACGATGGCCTGCTGGATAGAATCGAGGCGCATGTAAACCGGCAAAAATCGACATTGCAACGAGATCGGCCGTTGATTGAAGGTAGATCATACATGAGCGATAGTGCACGAACTGCCAACGGCTAGTTACATATCGGCGATTTTACACCCAACACCCGAAGCAAGACCTATTCAGTGTTGCCAATTTTATATAACATTACATATTTAATTTTGTCTATTAAAATTCTTTTTACAAAATCTTTATGTAAGCATTTTTAACGATCAAAATATATTTTAATATATCGACGCTGCCAAACCAGAGCGGCATAAACGAGATTTACTTGATTTTTTAGGAAACAAAAAAAAACTTTCAAATAGGCATTTACGTAAACTTTAAACCAATATTGTAGCGATTGAAGGTTGTTTGCGGTTGTCGCTTTAACTGTTGGATGCAGATTTAAAAATCGTGTTCAACAGTGTTGCTAAGCAAAAAGTGACCATTTTGGCGTTTATGCTGTTTCGGCTTGGCAGCGTCGATACTACATATAAAGGAATATCTTTATAAATTGAGTTTATGAGAAAATGATTGCACAAGTATTAATTTCTTAACTAGATTACCAATATAGAATATAGACTAGCCAGATATAAGGTAAAAAACTTTCCAGTCTTTAGGGTGTGAATATATTATGCGACATAGAGAAGGAGATATACATCAGTATAACGAAGAAGATAGTGAAAATGAAAAACTACGCGAGAACAATCAGCTAACTAACATTAATGCTTATAATGATGTGCAAATGGCATTCACAGATTTCAAAAACACGCAATAATCGCTTGGCGCTAACTTTACAATATGGCAATATACAAATTTCATTCGATATATGACTGTTTTGACTCCCAAAAAAGAGCAAAATAAGACGTTATGCAGGCTAGCATTCTGGGGGCTTCTGGAAGAAGTATACAAGAGATAAGGTATTGTCTTGTAAGATATATGTCCTGGTACATGTTTGTATCAACAAACATGTACCAGGTGCCGTAAAAGAAGGGTGACTTTGGTGTGATTCATAAAATCTATTCCTTGACTACTCGATACTCTAAGGACCGGGTTTTATTCAATATAAGTAACTTCCTCAACGCCTTTAAATGTTCTTTCAGCAGAATTGTCCTCACAAGTCAAACGTAAATAACAAATTTAATAAGTCCTCATAAGAAGGCAGCTATTTGCTGACTGAATATCATTGTGGTTGCAGAGGAACTAAAAGAAGCTAAACCATGCTAATGCACTCTAATAGATGCAGTGCTTCTGCAATGTATACAACCCTTTCCTTGCAAGAATTCATGATGATTAACAAATTAATTATATAAAAATGGCACCGATTGCATAAGGTTCTGAGGATTTATGATAGTCACAAGATAATATGATATTGAGGGACATGATAAATTCGTGTTAAATAATCTTCTGAACCAGGGTGATGAACCAGAAAGAAAAAGAAGTTTTAGCCGAAAAAGCACAAAGAAACGCACTGCTGTCATAAATACAACGTGAAAATGTCCCTTTTTTAGTTCTGTTTCCACTTACACGTTTTCTGAAAGTCACATAGAACACAAATTTTTGAATTGTGAAACAGCCATAGATGTTTTATAACCGTAATAAACGCTTTATTAGAAAATCTGGTTCGGTGCCCGGGACATATTTCATGTGTGAACAAAATATTCATTTTTTAGCGCATGATGTGCAAAGGTTTTGAACATTTTCAAATATTTTTGATCCCTTTCAAGATATTTGTGGAAATGTGCCTCGGTTATAATGACCGAACGACGTTATGTGAAATATTATATGTTTTACGCCATTACGATCAACTCCTGAACATACTCGTCAGTAATTATTGTTAGTTGTACACCGAGGACATTTTGGTTTTGTTTGGATGTTGTCACGAAACATGTGACATCAAAATTGGGACACTAAACGACCACTCACAGATACTGGTTTTCTAAGTACTTTTGCTTTTATTTAGGTAGTATTTATTTGTTGTTGAATTTTGAAATTTAAACTTCGTAGGGTTGAATATCTCAACACATTCGAATATTTGTAATCATTGTATTTTTCCTATGGTACATCTGGCATTGCCGCAATAGGTGTAGGTTTGGACTATACATTAAAAAGCTTAAGTTCAACCTATTGCTGTAACAGGTAAGTAATGTTATTTGGCACATGTGGGTCGAGGTTGTCCATATACTTTGATGATTGGTGTTTTCACATGGTTTCACTATTAATGGATTTTACTGACACAGATTTCTTAAGATCATTGATCAAGGTAACATTGAACTATCTGACAATGGTTTGCAAACCTAAATTTGTTAATCCTGATTATTTGGCTATGTTCAGACCTATTAGCATCTTACTACTGATTTTGAAGAGTTTCGAAGGGGCTTTTCATGGGCTTTTAGTTGCACTACAGCTCTTCTGCAGATGATATTTTTTGCGCAATGGACAACAAATTCTAAAATTGAATGAAAATTGAAGGAAAGCGGTATGACA